GAAAAGCCCCGCTCGACACAGATCTTGCCTCCACATACAAGTGTCACTTCGCCGAACAGAAGCAACGGACAGTAAATTACTGAGCAATGGCTCTGCACCCACTCAGCTACGCTGCCTGCTCACGCTCTCCCCATCAGTATGGGGTCAGGGCCAACACGCTGTCCTTCCGCCTCCTCCCTTGCCCTCCGCACAGCACTGCCCCAAAAAGAAGGGCAGTGAAGGTGAAAAAACCCCTCATCAGTGGTAGGATACTGTCAGGTCATAGCGCAGGGACAGCAGCTCCCCTCCTTGATCTTTCAGATCGTAGATGAGCTTCGAGTCTTCACCGTATTTTCCTGTCAGCGTCTCCTACAACAAAAGGACACACGAACAAACAGCATCTTCAGTAACAAGGGATCAGCCCTAGAGCACGCAGAAAACAAGGAGAGAAAGGGAGGACATGTAGCAGATGCAAGAAGAAAACTCAGCCTTCAACACATTGCAAACTCTCAAAAGGCAGGATCCTCACCAGCTCCCTGAGCTCCTGTGTCCTCACTCACCTTCAACTCAAACACCGGTGTGTCAATGACTTCCGCTCCGTGGCGCTTGAAGCAGGTGATGATGGCATCAAAGACTCTCTCTCGAATGGCCATCTGCTTGGGGCTGTAGTCTCGCGTGCCCTGGGGCGAGATAAGGAAGAGCAAGGGACACGTTGGGTTTGGGGCATGAGGTGGAGACACATGCAAGAGGCAACCTGAAGAAGCAATCACCTAGCTAAAAAAAAGCAGAGAGATCAGATTCAGACACCAGCTATCAGGTGAGGTGGTAAAAGTGGAATGAAAACCCACTGGGAAACATCAGGCTGCAGCTTGGACACAATCTGCTGTGATCTACACAATTAAACCTAAGGCAGGAGTTTCACAATGCAGGAAGCAAAGGAGCTAACACAGATCCAGCAGTCAGAGTTCAGTGCTTTTGGGCATGATGGCACAGCCAGGACCTGTCCGGAGCTCTGATTCTGACAGAGTAGCCAGACACCCACACAACGAGCCAGCCCAAGAGGTGGAATCAGAGGACAGGGACGCTGAGAAGCTGCGAAAGAACCAGCAGGTCTACAATTTCCAAACACACATAGGGAGAAATCATCTTTTCAAGGTACAATACCTGTGAATTGTCTATTTACTGTTCACTGGGATGTGCTCCCTTTTAATTTATTCGCTGTTAAGAGTCACTGAATTATTTGGATGACCACCTTTTGGCTCTCAGCAGCACATAAATCAATTAACTAGACCAACTTTTATTTTCTGGGGACTGGCAGTTAGGCAGGAGGAAGCAGAGAGAGCAGGCACTTCTTAATACCCCACCTGCAGGTTGCACAGTGAAGAGCAGCTCTCAGCAGTACACTGACGTGGCTGAGATAGGCTGGACACCCAAGCTGTGCTTCCATGGCACTCAGAGCAACAAAATCCTTTCTGCACACTTTTAAATAGTGGAATGTCCTTCCACTCAGGTCTCACATCACAATTACATTTATCAAAACATATGAAGCAAATGGACAAGCAGGACAGTTTTGAGGTACTTCCTAAGTATTAATATAACCTGTTTTATTGGTGAGCAACACTCGTAACTCTCTGCACACCACAGCGTGGAAGCTGCTAGTGAGGAAACATTCAGGTTACAAAAAAATTCCCCACAACAAGTCTTGCACCAGCAGAGCTGCACTCCCTGCTCACCCAACCCACCAGCAGCTCCATCCACCCTGTTCAGGGAACAGGACAAGCATGAGGATCCTTGATGCACGAGAGCAAATATCTGCAGGTACCAGTGGTGAAAAGTCCTAGCCCTAAACTCATCAGGGTGACACAGGCCATGACCTTACTTCAAAGAGTGCAATGCAAGCAGATATGAGAGCTCTCATGCTGGGCAGCTACAATAAAGGTTGACCAAAAGGGAATTTAATTTCCTGACCATGTCAGCTAGGGTAACCAAAGCACCAGAAAGTCTTTAAGTCAGTAGGATATCTGCATCGGATGCTGCCAGGGATGTTTTTGTCCATGTCTTTCCTGCTGCTAAAAATCAAAAGGGCAACAGAAATAGGAAAAAAAACAGGCAAGTCTGTGGTGAGATTCTGCACCCTCAGCTGTGTAGGGGGTGCAGTGTGTATGAGTGGGATCAGGTCATGCACACAGAGAGGCACACGAGCGTGTGTGCAAGGAGAAGGTACCTTTGGAGTCTTGAGCACAAACTTGTGTTTCCCCTCATCTCCTCCCAGCTGTGCCTTCATCTCCAGCAGCTTTGCCACCTCCTTTGCAATCTGGGGAGGGAACAAGAAGAGAGCAGGGGGTAAAGCCTACCTGCCGGGTCCAGCTCCCAGGCCTTCCCCAACATCTTCAAGCTTCAGCATTCCCAGTACACCTGGTCCCCCAAGCCTCAAGTCATCTGCTCTTCCCAGTCTCCCACAGCAACCAGAGGGGCACTTCCTGCTCCTCTACAGTACTACCCACTTCTGGTACAAGCACCCTAACCTCAGAACCCAGAACTCCTCCACCATTCTCTGACTCCCAAAATCTACATCACCCTAGGAATCTTCCTCCCCAGTTCACACACCTACCACCCCAACAGCTTCCCTGCCACCCCCCAGGCTCAGAACCACCAGCTCCTGCTACCTGCACCTCAGCGTGAGAAGTCTCCCACATCCTCCTCCCAATCCTAACACCCACAAGCATCTTTCTCTCCAAACTAACACCAGTATCAGCAGTTCCTAGTCTCCCCTGCATCCTTTCCCCAGGCACCTCTCCCCCTCTGCTCTCTAGACCAGTAGTCCCATCCTTTCCAACACCCCTAGCCCACTGACACCCACACCAACAGAATCATAGAACGGTTTGGGTTGGAAGGGTCCTTAAAGCTCATCGAGTCATATCACAGAATGGTCTGGATAGGAAGGGACCTTCAAGATCATCTCATTCCAACCCCCCTGCCATGGGCAGGGACACCTCCCACCAGATCAGGTTGCTCAAAGCCCCGTCCAACCTGGCCTGGAACAATTCCCGGGAGATGACCTTCCGGGGATGGGGCATCCACAGCTTCTCTGGGCAGCCTATGCCAGTGTCTCATCACCCTCATAGTCCTGAACTTCTTCCTAATGTCTAATCTGATTCTACCCTTTTCTAGTT